TCAGGGAACAACTTTCAATCTCTGCTATTCTGTCACATGGAAATGAAATCATGGTTCCCAGGGTCCCCATTGTCAGATGCACAGGCACCTATGCAATGCATGACTGCACAGAAAACAAAGGACTCTACTTCCCCAGGGTCAGAGTCACACATTCCACACCCACCTGGACGGACTTCAGGGCCTTTCTCCAGGTACTGCTCTCCTCCCTCTCTTCCCCCAAACTCACAGTGATTTCAGGGTATAATGGGAAATATGTACTTAGTCTTTAGCCCCAGTTGCTGGTACACAATTTCTAAAGCCCCTGGGATTATCTGCATGCTAGACAAGTATGCGAAGAGCAGTATCATTTTTTTGTTCGATTATACCTCAGTTCAGGCCAGTATGGACTTTAGGTAGCTTCAAAACAAGAGCTGGTGATGGCCAAAGGAGCCAACCATGTGCTTGGAGACAGGAAATGTGCGGCATCTCTGTCCCCAATCTCTGGGGAGATAGTGGATGGAGACCCTATTGGACCGAAGCTCCAATGGCCACTGAGGAAATCAACAGCAACTGTGATGGACCCTCCATAAATACTCAAATCAGTGCATACAGTGGGCTGGAAGGGAGGCTCCAGGCCCCTCTCCTGCACCTTCTTTTTGCAGTGTACCCTTTCCCTTGATCCTAAACTGGATTCTTTAAAATAAACCAGTCATTTAAGTAAAGTGACTGTGAGTTCTGTGAGCTATTCTAACAAATTAATGACCCTCCAACAGGAGGGTCAGGAACTCCATAATCAGTGCATTAGAAGTGCATTTACTTGTGGCCTCCACAGTGGAGTAGTCTTATAGGCCCAAGCTCTTACCCTGTGGGGTCTCCATGGACTCAAGTGGGCATTGTCAGAACTGAACTCCACCCTAGATGCCCACCTGGTGAACTGGTTGTTGGTGTGGGAAAACCCAGACATTTGATGTCAGATATGTTGTTAACAAAACAGGTCACAGACTCAATCTACAATGGCCAGAACAACTCAGGTGCCCCCTACCCACCAAAGAATCACTCTGGCAGGCTGCTAGACAAGGGAGATGACTGCTTATATTGTGGGAATATAACCATCTGTAATCTGCTAGTGCTTGGTTTATGATAGGCAGAGCTCATATGAATAAAAAACGAAGTACGGTGACTAAGCAGAAACTACAAAAGATTATGAACACACTTTCTTGAATCATCAAGACTGGGGATTTTAACAACCAAGTTATTAAAACATTTTCATCATTTGTGAACTTTACCAGTGCACATTCTCTAATAAATAAATAGAAAGAAATAAAAATAGTAGTCTCAAACACACTTGAAGTAGAATGAGAATGAGATGTGTGCACCTCCAAATGCTCAATCTGCAGTGAGGTTTCTTGGTACTTGGTCCCAATGTTTGATTTGGTCCAAAGTATACACAATATCCGGCAATAATGAGTACAAAGTGCAGACTCCAGCTCCACACTAGCAAGGCTTATATCTAAGTTCTTTGTAAATCTCCAATGCTTTGCAGTGTCCTGCAGGAAGATGTTTTATAAATGGCTGCTAATAAAGAGAGGCTTGTTTTGAACCTCAGGTCTCAGATTTTTAAAAAAATTACATATGGCTTGGGGTTTATTTATAAATTCACTCTCAAATGCAAAGCTTAATTCAAAACTCATAATGGGGGGTGGGGGGGCTTGGGGGGTTAATGCTGTAGCACCATGGCAGAGCACACACCTAACACATGCTGGTTCAATTCCCCAGCAGTGAAAACAACCTCTTAGCTGGGTGTAGTAGCACCCTATATTCCCAGTACTTGGGAGGCAGAGGCAGGAGGTCCACTATACATTCAAGGGCAGCCTAAGCTACATAAGTGAGTTCAAGGCCAGCCTGTACTACACAGCAATAACCTTTCTCAAAAACAAATAAATAAATAGGCCAAAAACCCATAGTGGATGTATTGAAATTCCCCATATGTGTGTGTGTGTATACATATGTGAATATATATCATATTCATCATATATAATTAACCTACTATTATCATATTATATGTGTATGTATGTTCTGCCTTTTCATAAACTACCACAAATATTAATTTATAGATTAGTCCCAATAAGAGATTAACAATAACTAAAAATAAAATTGAACTATTATAAGAATATAACATAATAATTGTCAGCATCACCACTCTGATGCTTTTTGGTTGTTATCAAGTAAATAAGAGCTACCGGAATGCAAAGGCTGTGATACTGCAAGAATCAATCTGACAATCAAGACAGGTACTAAGTGACTAACAGGTGAGTGGCTAAATAAAAACATGGATACATTGGACAAAGGAACAATTCACATCAAGAGAGGCCAAAAGTAACATTGCAAGATTGCATCATGGGATGCACATGGTATGCAATCCTAAATGTGTGAATTGTTTATTTCTGAAATTTCCATTTAGTACTTTTTGAAGCACAGTTGACCTTGAGTAACTAAAATGAAACTGGAAAAGGTAGATTACTGAAGAAGCAAATAAAATGAAGAAGAAGGACAAGGAATAGAGGAAGATGACAACGACACTGAACTTTAGCCTGTTGTGGAGTTACCTAGAAAGTTTGTATTTATCTAATTTTAATTTCCATTTACCTTGTCAGCTGAATTGACTCTCCTTTATTTATGGTCAGGCACACTATGTCAGAGACCTAACTCTGATCTGATCTATTTTTGTAGATAAAATTGTACTGCACAGGAGCCACATGCCCCTGTTTGCACATTGCCTGTGGCTGCTATCACCCACAACAGTAGAATTGAATTCTTGCAGCAGAGAGCTGGCTGGCAAGCCTGAATATTTGCTATCTGGACTTTCAATAAAAAGTTTGCCGCTCCCTGCTTTAGGGTATCATATAATGCTGACTAGCCAACAAAATATTGTGTTTTTAAGTGACTCAGACAGTTTTACCAAAATAAAGTCATTTTACAAGATAATCAAATATGCTGCTTCCTTCTTGTAGCTCTGGTTTTTCTTTATACCTAAAACCTACCCAAGATCTGACATTAAAAAACACAATCCCAATGGTTTAAAACAATCTTTTCTTGCCACCTAATTTATGCCATGGTGCACTTTAAGATTTTGAGAGTCCTGTAAGAGTAGAAGAAATTCCACAGAAAAGGAAAAACAACATAGCAAATTTTTAGGCTACCAAAAAAAAAAAAAAAAACTAGGACAAGGCTGGGTGTGGTAGCAGATGCCTGTAACCCCAACACTCTTGGGAGGCTCACACAGGAGGAGAGTTGCGTGTTCGAGGCCAGCCTGGGCTACATAGAGTGAGTTGAAAGGTAGTGAGAACCATCTCAAAAAAAAAAAAAAAAAAAAAAACTAAACTAAAGGAAAATAAACTGAAATAAAACAAAACAGAACAGACTTAGGACATGACATCACACATCTTGATTTTCCTTATGCATTACTCAACAAAAAATGTACTCTAGATAAGTTGAAGAAAAAAATGGTAGAAAACAAGTGAACTTTTGGGTTTGCTTAACCAGACTGAAAGGCGACTACTGAAAAGTACCCTTTTGGGGACTAGAGTGGGGAGAGGGAGGGAATCCCAGCTCTATGCACAGAACTTAATGGAATCTATGTAGGAAGAACCAGGCCTTGTACCCCCCAACTGGACCTACACAGGTGTGGGCGGCTCGAACTACCCAGCTTTCAGTGACCAAAGGAAGCAGAGACATCAAGCCCCTAATGCCAAAAGCCAGCCAGAGGTCTCACCACCTCCTGAAGGACTTCATCCATTCCTACCAAACCCAACTTCATCCTTCTTCCCCATCCAAAGACCTCATATCCTTCATGCCCCATTTAAAATCCCAACTGGCGCCACTGCACCACAGTGCATGGACTCATTCACAGAGACAGGAAAGATGTTCCCTGGCTGTATCCAACACCATGTTCCCAACCCCACTCTTCCAGAAAGACTTTCTCATGTTCCACCGGGTGGCGGTTGGCCCCCACTCCTCAGAAATGTGTCTTCCAGATCCCCTGGACCCTAAGGTCCTATAAAGTAGAACTCACCCTGTAGTTCTCTGGTACCCAAGACAATAACAATGCCAACATCAAAGAGCACATTAGAATTTCTCAGAATAACCCTACAGGTAGTCATGATCACCACATTCTAGTTTTACAGATGAGGAAACAGCATATAAATGGTGCTGGAGGCCAGAGTCAACAGCAACTGAGCCAGGATTCCCATAGGGGTCTGTCTCATGCCAAGGCTAATGTCTCCAAATTACACACTGCCTCTCGCCTGAAAGGCACTCTGTAAAACCTGCTTAGTGAATAAAAACAGACGACACAAACCCTGGTCCACCCCTCCACTGGCCCTAAAGTTTAATCTTTCCATTTCCTAATATAAAACAGCTCAGCAGAGTGGCAGAGCTACAAGGCACACAAGCCTGTCCGGATTTTGTCAGCTCACACAAATACAGTAGCTGTGTGGCTCCATCAAATGCAAATGACAAAAATATTCCTGATTTTTACTCCTAGGAACAAACATATCATGCAGATGGTCTACAATTATTTTCCCCTTTTTACTAGCCAAGCCATTTGTGTCTTTATACTTAACAAAGGAATATACACATGGAAAAATAAATACAATGATGGAAAGGCTACAGTGTGTGTGTGTGTGTGTGTGTGTGTGTGTGTGTGTGTGTAATATAAAGCTCCTCTCAAAGAAGCTTGGCACTGTGGTTAATGCAAACCTTCTCCTCTCCTTTACTATCCTGCCCACACCATGAAGATCGTGAGGAAAAAAGGAAGCCACATAGATTCCTGGTTTGGTCCAAAAATATCAACTCACAAAAGCATGAAGAAGGTCCCCTATTGAGCAGGTTTCAAATATTTAATTACTATAATTATATTCATACACACTTTATCACTGTTTTCTGATGAAGTTGGCAAGGAGATAGAAACTCAGTGTTTTATTCTGAGTTTAATGCACTTGTTTTTATGCTTACACTAACAGCTTCCTGGAGCCATGCTGGAGGTAGAGTGGAGTAAGCTCTAAAGGAGGTGACAAGGAAAAGAGCTCCCTGTGGATGCACCACATTTGGAGAGAGCTGAGGCCAGAACCGCCTCCTCTAGGAAGAGGAATCGTCCAAGGTAAGCAGTGTGGCCCACAAACAGGGAAACTGGACCACAAACCGCTCTCCCACTGTATGCTTCCAACAAGACTTTCAGCTTTCAAAATATGGGGCTAGGTGGGAGGAGAGGCCACAGCTGCCTTACGTGAAAGTCCCTTTCCATTTTCCTGTAAGTCTCCCAGTCAAAGGAAGAAATCAACACCCAACCATGCAATGCACACTCTAGGGCGACCTTGGCACACTGAGAGCAGTAGTCAACAGCAGAGCAGGTTCTCCGCCTGGGAGAGCACTCCTGGTGAAAAGGGCCACTGTGAACCACGAGGGCAGAAGGTCAGCATTCTCTGGGAATCTGCCACTTCCTGCATAACAAGTGAGCAAGCAAGGAGAGGTGGCAGATGGGAAGGGCAGAGCAGAAGTCAGGCCCAGACAGCTATGGTAGTGCCAACCCACAGCAGCCAGGCCACAGGGAACAGGAGTGTCAAGCATTTGAATAAACCAGAAGCAGCAGGGGGATGTTCTGAACTAACTTAGGGGAAAAAATCAAAATAGAGCATTTGATTCAAAGGAGCAGCAAGGAGGCCTCATGAACAAGCAATCAAAAGGATGTAGAGGCTTTAGGCTTTGCTCTGATGGCATTAATGGCACAGGCTTCCCACGATGGGCAAAACCGTGTTACATATAATGAGTTCCCTGTGTAAGACTCCTAAGAAGAAGACCCAAGTCAGATCCACCCAACAGTTCCATCTCCCCTCTCAGGAAGGCCCCCTGTAACACTAGACTAACTGTACTTAGCCTAAGAAGGGCCTCCAACAAACGCAGTTAAACTTACACTCCTCTAGAAAGACCTATTGTATCATCATGTATGGAGTTTTAAATTCAAAATAACTGACAACTAGAACCGTGTGAAATTTTTCTTTGCTGAAACTGCAAATGATGAACCCTAAAAGAAATGCTTCACTATAATTCTTCACTGTAAATAACTGCATCATTCCAGATAGTGTGCTGGTCGATACAACATATTTTGACAAATTAACTACAGTGTTTTGGGTCCAAACATAAATTTAGAAAGAGACACAATGATACACATCGCTGAAACCACTTACAGTAAAGTACAAAGCAAGACTGTAGACATGCGAAAGTTCCATTAATTCCATGTCTAAGTATTTCAGCTATTCCTGAAGAGCGGAAAGAGGTCGCGTGTAGTGGGATGCAAACATTTTCATAGGAAGATTCAGGGAGCCAGCAGGCAGTTCTTGCGTTACTGGTGAGCCTGTATCATTAGGCATCTGGTATTCTGTAAAATTTCTGCGTGGACTCTGCTTGTCTCCCTGAACCGACTGTTTTCCTTTGGTTTCATTTGAAAACATTGATCTGTATGCAGCTGGTGCTTACTAGGAAGTTGTCATGGTAGCTATCTGCTCCATGAGTTGTAAGAGTGATGCACAGGGCTAACTTCACTGTTTGTAATTCTGTCTCCACCTCTCTGCAACGGCCTACTTTGTTAGGGCAGGGAAATGGAAATTACTTCAAGAAATGGAAAAAATGTGATTTAAGTAACTCAAATGGCTCATTTCTCTTGGGAACAAGACAGTTAATGACTTTTCAGAAACTAAGTAAATAGTGGTCTGACCTCTATTAGTTATTTAAGTTTAACAACACTGTTAACTAACAGAGCGAAGGTGTCCCAGAGGATGCCAGAGAGCATCAGGGAATTCCAAAAAACCAAACTGTCTAAAGTTCCCTCACTGTTGTCCTCGGAATTTTCCTGAGTAGTCAGCTGACACAGAAAAGTCCAAATCCAGCACAGAAGAGACAGTTGGGTGGTGTCTGTGGATAATGAAAGTGTGGTTGTTTGGATGTGAAACATTGACACATAGGGGTTTGTTCCAAAGAACAGTATTAATTCTTTCCCTGTCGCTTTAATAGTCTCCCTTAACCCTTCCCTCTCAAGCCTTATTCTCCTGGTCATTCTTAATTCATACAGGACCTCGTCACAAGAAAGGTACACCCAGCCACACCACAAACAGCTGTGATTCCTGGGGATACTGGAGCGCCAGGTGCTACCCCTAGAGACCTTTCCCAGCCACAGCAGCAACCCAGCTCCCAGCTGCCCTGCTAGCACCAACCTCTACACCAGTGCCAAACCACTAAAACACCCCAAGGGGACCAAGCCTGCACCCAGCTCCCAGCTTCCATGGCCAGACCCAGCTTTTGTCAAAGGCAACACTGTTTCTGTGACCACAGTGTATATTAACTACTATCCCTGCAGCAGTATTTATTTGTTTTTGCCTTCCTGACTTAAGGAACACAGCCCCAAAAGGAAAAATTGAAAGCAAAAGTTTATTTCCATCTTGGATCCCACTTCCTCCAAGAAAGCAAATGTTATGAAGCATGAGACCACACCCCCACCCAAATCCAAACAGGAGCCCAAAGCTTTCCAAGTGTATGAAGGAAACCAATTTTCTCAGTAGCAGCCAACATGTGAAAATACTTTTATTGCAAAATTGAAGACTGTAGTTCAGCAAATACTTGCTGGCATGTTAATGTGAGTAATTACACAGGTGGTTATGCAAACACTGAACTCATACTTCAATCTGGCAGAAGTATAAACATTTCTAGGAGAGTTTATAAGGTTCAATTACCTAGATCTGCTGGTTTAATTTCTTTTCCCTCTCAAACAGCTCCCCCAATGTCAATCATTTTCCATTAGAAAAGTCACTCCTGGAGGCATGGTCTAAGTAGCAATGAGACACATTTGTACTAAACTGCCTCAACCATTTTCAAAGGAGCATCTCACCAATAATGTGCATGTGCATGATTACTCTCTCGTGTCTTGCAAAAGAGCTGCTGCACATTCTTCACTCTTAAAAACATTCATTTACTCAGACAATATTGTTAAGCTCCTTATGTACTGGACACTACTCTAAGACGCAGAGGACACAGCAGTGAACAAAATAATCAAAATCCTCTGCCTTCAGAGGTTTACATTCTAGCAGGAAGAAAACATCTTGTAGTTACAAAAACAAAACACAGGGCACTTCAATGTCCACTAAACTGGGATAGACAAAAACATTAAAAAAAGATAGAGTGGGTGCAGGGTGTTGCAATTTTAAATATAAAGGAAAGCACAAGAGAGAGATAAATACTGTGTGAGAAGTGAAGGGGAAAAAAGGGGTGACCTAAACATTCAGCAATCTTGGGAAAGTTTTTCATGCAAGGAAACAGCTAGGTCAAATGTGCTGGAAAAAAAAAAAAAAAAGAAGGGGGAAGGTGTGTCAATGATCCACAGAAATTTGCTTTCTGCCATTTCCTAATCTTATTAAAAACTACCTCCCTATATAGAAGTTTCAAAAGGCTTATTTTCTAATACTGAGTTTTCCCTTAAATACATAGCATCTGGCACTGCTGGGATTCATGGTTACGAGCATATTTTGCTCCCTCCCCCATCCTTGCTGGCAGTGGGTTCCGTCCCCAGAGCCCCGGGTATGTTTAGCACCACAGCAACCAAAGCTGGTAAGCGATGCACTACACTTGGGCATGCTGCAAGCCCAAAATGCCCATTTAAGGACTGAACAAATGGTGCACAAAAAGCTCTACCTTTGCTCCCTACCTGACAGCTATCCTCAGCACCTGTGCCACGGTGTCAAGGTGGTGAAGGTCTCCAAAGAAAACTGACAAGGCTCAAAACAGAGCTAGACCAAAACCACACTAATCTCTGACTTTCCAAAATAATGTGACCTAGTCTTCCTCCTCCTCCAAAGTTAAGGTAGGGACCCCAGCGCAGTAAAAGAGTCCTTGCCTCGTCTGCTCAAGGCCATAGGTTCATTTCCCAGCACACCACACCACACCCACACACATTAAAGATATAAAAATGAAAAAATAACATAAATTTTATTTCACACACAGAAGAGAAAAGAACCAAATATATAAAGGCAGTCGAGAATGTGAATGCTCCAGGGAAGGCCAGTGCCTGGTGAAAGGAGCTGCAGCTAAGAAGGAGATATGCCTGGGCTCCTTCCTGGTTCCTGTCCACCAGGCATTACAGTCCACTTGCTGTGAAGTCTGAGGCAAGCCATTTTACTACTCATGAAAAGGAGTCCTAACTTGTAGGCTTCCTGCAAAGATTGGAAGCAGAGTTAAAAATAGCCAACATGTTAAAAACCAATCTCAAAATGTTACATACTTTATGATTCCATTTATAGAGCAGGCTTGAAATAACAAAATTATAGAGATGTAGAATTAGTGGTTGTCAGAGACTGGGTTTGGAGAGAGGAGGAGGGAAGGAGCTTGCTATAGTCTTAAAAGGGTAGACTTGAAATCCTTGAGAGTCAACTGTTCTGTAGCGGGTGGTGGGAAACACAAGACAAAAACACACAAGGGAACCACACTGCAATATTGTTGTATAACATATTCCTGTTGGGGAAACTGAGTGAAAGGTATACAGGATCTCTACACTATTACTTACTGTTCTGTGCAAATCTACAATTATCTCAAACAAGTATCGGGGTTTCCTTTTAAATCTCATCAACTTATGAGGAAACTGTCAGGCAGGTTATAAGAGTCATAAATGGCATACTGGTCAAGTTATCTTCTCACTTACATAGCAAATGAGTAATTCTTACTTTCCAATAATGAGATTGTAGAGAAAAAATGCCCTTCGAAATTTCAATAAAGTCCCTGGAAGACGCAAACATTGTATATTAGTTAGCTTTCATTTGGCTGGGAAAAAATACCCAACACCCAGGATTAAAGGACAAGAGGGTTAATGTGGCTCACAATTTCAGGGGTTCAGTCTGTGGTCTACTGGCACCAAGGTAGGAAATTTCTGGCAGAACAAAGAAGCTTAGTTCGCAGCAGCCAAGAAGCAGAGCAGGGCAACAGTGCCAGAAGGGGAGGGGCCAGAGATCAGACATGGACCCCAAAGCCAAGCCTCCACGACCTGCTCAAAAGCGCGCTATTGCAATCCCAGGTATAGCGCCCAAGACAGTCAAGTTTACACAATGGAGCTTAACCACCACT